GAGAGAGAGAGAGAGAGAGAGGGCAAACAGGATGCAAGGCAAAAATGATTTGTAATAAAGGTACCTAAGCACAAAACTGTAGGAGTTACAAAAGAGGGATTATGGCCGGAGGATTGAGGCTGGAGGCTTTTAGCCAGATTTATGTTGAGAGTCAAGAGCAAAGAGCCCAGCAGAATGATTTAAAAACATTTTGAGTCTGGCCAGGAAGAAGTCTCTAGTAAAGCTGTGGACTGCAAAGATAGAGCAGAGGAGAACTTGGTTGCTGCGAAGGAACAGGACAATGGAAAAGATGGCCTAAGGACATCACAAGAACCAGCAGGATTCCAGCCTTTGCAGCCTCCAGGTTGCAAAGGTGAAAAAAATGTGCCTTGAGAAGAGAGCCCCAGAGCTCTAGGCAATGGCCTAGAGAATTTGTTCCTCAGGACTGGGTTTAGTGCTTAGCAATCCAGACACTTGACCCCTCAAGCCAAGAGAGAAGGAAGCCTGACTACTGCTCCAACCAGAGGGCATCATCGACGTGGTGCTGGTTTGACGTGAATGCAGATTGCAAGAGTTGTGAAGTCAGGAAGGCTTCCACCCATATTTTGGAAGAAGACCTGGGAGGCCTGGCAGGGTGCCCTGAGATGGCAATGTGGGAAGCTGTGAGGGTAAAACTGAAGGTGCAGGGGAGACCCAGAAGGTTGGAGAAGCCAGGAACGTGGATCATCTGAGGAAAACTGCAGGGAGGGAGCAAAGCTGACCCAAAAGCAATGCTATAGGAGCTACAACCACCAGCAGTGCCACTGCACAAGCCCTTTGGAGTTCACATCTTGCCACAGACTGCCTCTGATGTTGGACATGGAATTACAAGAATTGATATTTGCCCCACTAGATTTTGGACTTGCTTTGGTCCCATTTTTTTTTCTATCCCCCTACTTGCAATGGGAATGTTTATTTTATGCCATTGTATGTTGGAAGTGTTTAACTTTCTTTTCATTTATGCAGGGGCTCACAGCTAAGAGTTTGCCTTAAATCTGAGATTTTGGACTTGGACTTTTCAGCAGTACTGAAGCTGTTATGACTTTGGCAATTCTTAGAGATGAAATAAATGTCTTTTGCATAAAGGAATGTGAATAAGTGGGGGCCAGGGTGGAATAATGGCTTGCATCTAGATGTTCCCCAAAGCCACATGCAGTCTAGGTAGTGCTTTTCAGAGATGGTTTGTGTGATACTGGGATGAAGGATGTGATCTGGGATTGATTCATGGTGCTATGCTAGGATTAAGAGTGCCCCCCCACACAAGTGCCCTTGGGGTGGGTAGCCTGGATAGAATATGTATCAGTCAGTGCTTACTAGAGAAAAAGATTTAATGCAAAAGGACTGTCTACATGCTAGAGACTCAAAGGATCCAGTCAAAGGCCCGAAGCTCACTGTAGTGTCCTATATGAGTCTGTATCAGGAGGCCAAAGGTCTGCACCAGAGGGCTGAAGGGTCTTTGCTGCAGGCTGAAGATTCTGTGCTAGAAGGCTGAAGATGACATCCAAAGTAAAGGTGAAGACTGGAGCACCTCCAAAGAAACAGAAGCAGCTGCCTTCCTTCTTTGTTTCCCTTTATACCATTCTGGCAACAAATCTCCCTAGGGTGGGTTTTCCACACCCAGAACTATGCTGAGTCAATTTAGTTGGGTTTTTCTTACTCAAGTTGACGCAATCCATTAACTATCATAGAATACAAGGGACAAAAAGAGGACTGCTGTTGCTGCTTATCGCTTGCTGCTTGCTGTTTGCTACTTCATTGCTTGCTGCCTTCTGTCTGCCATGCCATGGAATATTTCTTCTCTGTGATGCCCCTGTGCCATGCCTCTCTCCCTTGAGCCAGCCAACTTTGGACTGAAACCTCTATGAACTGTGAGCTGAAATAAACCTTTCCTCCTTTAACTTTGGGTGGTGTTAGGTATTTTGTCTCAGCAATGAGAAAAATAACTAAGAGTAGAAGGAATATTTAAATCTTATCAGAAAGCTTGGGTATTTTGTGGCAGAATTAAAACTTGGATATGGGATCCTAATGGAAGAAGAAAAACACATTCCCAGTTTTTCCATTCTATTCAGGCTGTGAATATAGCATAATAATTATGCACATATGTTTGAAGGCTGGCAAGTCTCTGTATAGACTGTTGTTCAGTGTATGCAGTATGGAGTGAAACTGTCTAATAGAGTCAGCAAACCTGTTATATTGGAATCTTCATCTGTGCCTGTTTAATATACAATGTTTTGATTTATTTATAATCTAAAATAGTAAATTATTAATTCCCATTGCTTTTTAATAGTTGAGTTGTTATTGATGGGGAAGAAAATATCATTCATATAGCATTTAATGAGTATCTACTGTGCTCTAGGCACAACAAACAAGACAGACAACAATCTCTATCCTTATGGAACTTACATTCTACTAGAGAGACACAATATATAATAAAAACAAATAAGGAAAATATAATATTAAATGACAGTAAGTAGTATGGAAAAAGTAGGGTGAGGTAAAAGTATCGATGGAGAAATGGAATGCTTCACTAAAACATGTAGAAATGGTATGTGTTCAGTAAATGTATATTTGGGTTTTTCCTGCACCTTAAAATATTTTCTAAAGTTCTATTTGTGATGGCTTTGAGACCTAGTATGCTATCTTCCCAGGTGGTCTCTGAGCATTTAGTGTCATCTATCCCTGAAGGGAGACATTCCCTACACACCCTGCTCCTATAGGATGAACCTTAGGGCTTCTGTTGTCCAACCTTGCACATTAGCACTTAGGAATCACAACATCATGGCAAGGACATCTGAGGTGCAGGAACTCTTTCAGGTCAGTGCTTACTCATCACATAACCTGTGAAACTCAATTGGAAATACAAATGTATTGTAGCTTATAGCCTCCCAGTTATTTGCTTATACCTGATAACAGTAGCTTTTTTCTGCTTTTCAGTGTCATGGACTTTCTGTGGAAGGTTTTGTTCTTCCTTCTTCAACAACTAAAGAGGTAAGATCCTTTGTCTTTGACAGGTAGCTTGCCTGGCTGCTGTATTTCTATGATCACTCTTCAAAGTAAAAGAGCTATGCTTTTATAAACTATGTCAATATGAAATGTATTTGAAGAAAGCACTAAATGTCATTTCTTAAAAAATTGAATGAGAGGACCAGGGATTTAGCTTAGTGGTGCCATGCAAGCACAAGTTTGACCCCCAGTACAAAAACAATTGAGAATATTGGAAAATAAGTATGTGATATTAATTAAATGAGAACAGCTTCCTTTAATGGTTAAGGTGGGCTGTATGAGGTGAAGTGAGAATTAAAGATAGCAGAAGGAATAGAAATCTAAGAATAAGTGACTTTTCATGTCCCCCATCCTTCTAATTTTCACTTTCACTCTTATATTTGCTTTTATCCAAATCACAAGGAAATAATGAAGAACTAGCTTTTACACAGAACCAACAAAGGAGCTAGCTAGTATTAACAAACTAAGAGTAATGAGACTGGACAGTAAAAAAAAAAAAATCTCAAACACTGGAGTTGCTGCAGATAACAGGTAGGGAACCAGTGCTTTACTCTTGCCTTGACAGGCCTTTCCTATACTAAAGAACACCTTGCTTCCTATTTATTTTTCATTACATTTAATTAATATTAAAATGTTAATAAGTTAGTAATAATACATACCTAAATATTATCTTTCAGCTTTCAAATCACTTTTGCATTATTTAGTTCAATCTTTAACACAAATATGTATGTAAAAAAGGGGTTCTTATTTCCAACTTACATATAAGGAAACAGATTTAGAGATTAGTTGTCCAAGGTCATGTAACTCATAGCTGACAAAAACAGAAACTGAACCCAGGTCTTTTTTTTTCAAGTTTTATTCTTTTATTGGTACATGTTTGCAGTACATAATAATTACATTCCTCATGGGGAGTTGGCACATGTACACAACACATTTTAACACTATTTTCATCCCTTCTCTCCTTCTCTTCCCCCCCCTCCATCTTTTGGTCCTTTTCCCATTTGCAAAAGATCTATCTCCCTATTTCCTACTATCTGTCTTTTATTTGTCTCTTTATTTATATGTTGGAGTTCTCATTTAAGAGAAAACATGTTATATTCAAGCTTGTGTGTCTGATTTATTTCACTTGACATTATGTCTCAATGTGCATCCATTTTGCTACAAATGACTCAAGTTTATCCTTCTTTGTGGCAGAGTACAACTTTGTTAAGCATAAGTACCATACTTTCTTTATCCATTCATCTGTTGATGAGCAGATTTAGCTGTTGTGAATTATGCTTCTATAAACATGCATTACCACTGTGATATGATGCCTTTAACTCTTTGGGGAAGATAACCTAGAAGAGGAATAGCTAGGTTGAATGGAATTTCTTGTTTTAATTTTTTGAGCAATCTCCATACTGATTTCCATAATGGTTGTAATAGTTTACATTCTCATCAACAAGGTATAGAGTTCCTTTTTCACCACAGTCTCTCCAGCATTTGTTATTGTTTGATGTTTTGGTGATAGCCATTCTTTCTGGAGTAAGATGGAATCTCAGTGTTGTTTTAATTTGCATTTCTCTAGGGGCCAGAGATGTTGAACAGTTTTTCATATATTTATTGGCCATTTGTATTTTTTCTGAGATGTGTCTATTCACTTTGGTTGCTCATTTTTTAATTGGGTCTTTTATTTGGGGTGGGTCAAGTTTTTGAGTTCTTTATACATTGCAGATATTAGTCTTCTGTCCCAGAAATAGTTGACAAAAAATTTTCCCATTCCTTAGGTTTTCTTGACTCTATTGATTGCTTAATTTGCTGTGTAGAAGCTTTTTAATTGGATATAATCCCATTTGTTGGTTCTTTATTAATACATGTGTGCAGTAGATGAAGTTTATATTCATCTTAAGAAATAGATACATGTGCATAACACATCTTGATTCTTTTTTATTCCCCTTTCCTTCCCCACCACCTCCCTACCTCTGTCTCGAGATCCCCTTCCCCCTTTTCATTATATTATTATTACTATTATTTTTTTAATTCATGCGTATGACATACAATGTTTATATTCTTTGAGGTATTTGTCATTTGCTATGCAGAAGCTTTTAAATTTGATATGATTCCATTTGTTGATTCTTAATGTTATTTCTTGTGCAAATGGGGTTCTGTTCAGAAAGTTCTTGCCTACACATATGCCTTCAAGAGTTTTATCTATTTTATCTTCCAGCAGATGAAGTGTTTCTATTTTAACATTTGTATCTTTTATCCAATCTGATTTTAGTTTAGTACATGCAAAAGAGATGAGTCTATCTTTAGTCTTCTGCATGTGGATACCAAGCTTTCCTAGCAATATTTGTTAAAGAGGCTACCTTTTCTACAGCATATGTTTTTGTCCTCTTTGTGGGTGATTGGATAGCTGAATGTGCTTGGTGTTATTTCTGCATCCTCTGTTTTGTTCCATTGATCCACATGTTTGTTTTTGTACTAATACCATGCTGCTTTGATTACTATGGCTCTGTAGTGTAATGTGAAGTCTAGGATCCTGATGCCTCCTGCCATGCTCTTGTTGCCCAGGATTTCTTTTGCTATTCTAGGTCTCTTCTGGTTCCATATGAATTTTAGGATTGTTTTCTCCAGGTCTGTAAAGAATGCTTTTGGAATTTTTATTGAGATTGCATTAAATATATGCATTAATTTTGGAATATGGTCATTTTGACTATATTGGTTCTACCTATCTGAGAACACAGGATATCTTTCCATTTTCTTTTCTTTCCTTTTTTTTTTTTGAGACAGGGTCTCACTGTATAGCCCAGGCTGCTTTAAACTCAGCTTCCCTAGTGCTGGGATTACAGGCATGTGCCACCACACCCAGAATCTTTCCATTTTCTCATGTCCTCTTTGATCTCTTTTTTCAGAGTACTGTAGTTTTCACTGTAGAGTTCTTTCACTTCCTTGATTAGAAATTTAATTTTTAGGTGTTTAATTTTTCTTGCTGCTACTGTGATTACTATTGTTTTCCTAATTTCTTTCTCAGTGAGTTCATCATTTGGTATGCAGAACACTATTAATTTTTTTTGGTATTGATTTTGTAACCTGCTACACTACTGAATTTTTAAAAATTGGTACATGTTTATAGTACAAAATGACTACATTCATCACGGAGAGTTTGTCCATATACACGATAGATCTTAATTTTTTATGCCTTACCCCCCCTGCTGCCCCCACTTCTCTGGGATTCCTTCTCCTATATATATTTTTTCCAGCAGCAATTTTTTTGTTGTTGTTGTTACCAGAGACCGAACTCAGGACCTTGCACTTTTCAAGCAGGTGGCAGAACCAGTGAACTAAATCCCTGGCCCTTCTATATATATATTTTTTTATAAATGTTTGTAGTGCCTATCGAACATGTTCCTCATGGGGACTTGGAATGTGTAAAACACATCACAATTTTTTAAATTTTTTATCTCGAAATTTAGCTATTAATTCTAGCAGTCTTTTGGTGGAATTTTTTGGATCTTCTACATAAAGGATCATGTCATCTGCAAATAATTTGACTTCTTCCTTTCCTATACATGTCCCTTTTATTTCTTTCTCTTGCCTGATTGCTCTGGCTAATGTTTTGAGTACAATATTCAACAGGAATGAACCCAGGTCTTTACATTTCAAATCTCCATTGTCTCCTGACAGTATATGCTCAGTGCAATTTTACAAAAAACTATTCTTCAATCTCTTTCACATTAAATAACTGTATACTTCTTTTTAAAGTCATGGACTCACTATGTAGACCAGGCTGGCCTTGAACTTATGATCCTCCTACCTCAGCCTACTGAGTGCTGAAATTACAGGTGTGCACCACACGCCTGGTAACTTTATACTTTTTAATACCCGTTTTATTCTATCAGCATATAGATGTTTTATATAATTCTAATAATGATATATATACAGTTTTAAGTTTTACTTACATTTTTTCCTTTATCATCAGTCATCAGATGTATTCTTCTAAATAGATTCATAAAACTTACGATATTGCTCCTCCATGATATGCCATTATCTATACCATTCCTATACTTGGATTACTTGTGACTGATGCTGCTATAAACACCCTTGCACATAGAGCTTTTTTCCTCTTTTTCCTTATTTTCTTAGGATGAATGCCCCAAAATAGGGTTATGAGTTAGAGGGTATTGATATTTTTATGACTCCTGCTATGTTGCCAGACTGTCTTCAAAAAGATTGAATCAATTTATTCAATCTATTACATGAAAGGGGATGAAACCATGCTCATGCATACAGTATTTTCACTGATTTCTAGCGGACATGATTGATGCCTCAGGGATGATGGAATGGAGCTCCTCCTAGGAACTGATTTTCTTTTTCTCCTCAGATGACTCCAGGAGAGATTAAATTCTCTGTCCATGTGGAGTCTGTCCTGAATCGTGTACCTCAGCCAGAATACCGCCAGCTTCTGGTTGAAGCCATCCTTGTCCTCACCATGCTGGCAGATATTGAAATTCACAGTATCGGAAGCATCATTGCTGTGGAAAAAATAGTGCATATAGCCAATGACTTATTCCTTCAAGAACAGGTAGGTAGGGCTAGGGAGTTAGCTCAATAGTTCCTCTCCCTGTCTCATAAGTGCAAGGACCCAAGTTCGATCTGTGGTACCAAAAAAAAAAAAAGAAGAAAGAAAGAAAAAAAAAAGAAAAGAAAAGAAAACAGGTAAGTAGACCTGTGCTTTGCTCAAAGAATGGCATAAAACTGTGTGCATTCCAAGCTCCATGTGAAGCTGAAGTTGATTTCTTATGCCTTATTCTTCATAGCTTCTTTCTGGAGCCCCTCTGAACTGGCTCTGAGCTTTGCAAAAGAAGCAGGCTACTGGATGACCTCTGTTATTCACTGCTTTTTTTTCTAAAAATTAGTAAATGTATTTATTTATCTATTTATGGTGCCAGGGATCAAACTGGGTCCTTATGCATGTTAGGCAAGTGTTCTACTGCTGAACTACACTCATAGGCCACTTTATTTTACTTTTGATTAACATATACTAATTGTGCATGTTAATGAAGCTCAGTGTGACATTTCAACACATGTATACATCGCGCACTGATCAAATCCAACCGCCTTTTATTCTCCCACCCCATGTGTTTTGTGGTTTGTTTCAGGTGGTAAAGACGGTCTGTTAGATGATAAAGTCTGAAACTCAGGAGGTATTGTTTTCCTAAAAAGTCCTGAAGCATAGCATTTGCATTATATTTTAAATTCCTGGTCACAATGCTTTATGTAGTTGTACAGACTTAATAAGACATTATTGTATAGTATATCCTTTCTGGACTATTAAGAAAAAGAAAATTTGTTTTTTCTTTTTTGCTACTTACCTATAGAAAAAATGTTAAAGTGAAACTTTTATTTCTATATTTTTCTTATTTTCTTAATATATCTCCCAAGAAATTGACTGTATTTAAAAATACAAACTATTTACCTAAAGTCTTGCCTAGATTAAGAGTTGGAGCACATAAAGTGAAGGGCATGCCTTGTTGTCAATAGGAAAAAAATTCTCTAAAATGTATAATAGGTGTTTCATTCTCTTAGCCACTATGAGAGGATGCAAAAGAAAAGTATCCAAGATTTTCTAGGATAGTCCTAATTTTAAATATTCTGGATTTCTGTCAGTCCATGTATCAGAAAACATGATCCCTTTCAAGCATAGACTCCAGCCTTGGAAAGCTCATTAAATTTGCTTAATCAAAAACAAGATAAAAGAATAGAAGCTGAAGGCCAGGGATTTGCCTTGCAAGCACAAGGTCCTGAGTTCGATCCCAGTACCAAAAGCAACAACAACAAGAATAGAAGCTGAAATCAATATAGTACTAGAAGATGTCAGATCAAGTCCCACTAGAATAATTTGTATCTCTTGTCTCTGCTATGAACAGGTATGACTCATTCAATTAACCTTTACTGTATAATTAGCTTTCAAAATTCCTTGTAATGGGGAAAATTCCAAACAGTATTTTAAATAATGTACATAATTTGAGGATTTAGTGGAAAATCCATATATAGAAACCCATTCACTCATTTTGTACATAACTCTGATCTCTTCCTGACTAAATAACCTACAAGGCAACTAACTGGTGATGGGAAGGAGGCTCTGATATACTAATTAGGATTTTACTTTGTAGGATTAGTAATTGTTTCCTTTCCCCTATATTTTCCCACCCTTAAAAAACAAACAGAAAACTCTCGGAGCAGATGATACCATGTTGGCAAAGGATCCTGCATCTGGCATCTGTACTCTCCTGTATGACAGTGCACCCAGTGGCAGGTTTGGCACCATGACCTACCTCTCCAAGGCAGCTGCCACCTACGTGCAGGAGTTCCTCCCCCACAGCATCTGTGCCATGCAGTGAGGGCTTTGGGTTCTGGCTGCTGGGAGCCTTCCTGGTCCCTGTCTCAGCTGATTGTGCATGGAACTGAAATGTTAAAGGCTGATCACTCCCCCGTCCCTTCCTGTCCCCCTCCCCAAGAAGAGAGAACTTTGCCGATAAACTAACTGCCTTAGAAGTGACTCCTTACCTGGAGACTCCCCTCCAGTGTGCATATGCTCAACCAGGCCTTTCAATTATTGTATCTAATTTCACATGGTTGATAAAAGTTTGCATGTATTTTTATTCTGTAGAGCTGTTACAAGCTTAGTTTTCTGACTCCTGTTTGAAGAGCAGATATTAATAATAACTTATTCCTAAAGATTTATTTTTCTTATGTGGTTTTATTGTGTATATGAGTGGTGGGTCCTTTGGGGTGTTATTTCAAGTGAGTAGACTCTAAATTGTTGGGTTTTATGTTTCTATAAATTGGAAATATCTAAGTGCCTAAGTGTTCTAAGTGCCTTTTCTTAGGAAAACAGAGTACCAGATCATGGTTTCCTTTCTCACTCACTGGTTCCCTCACACTGATGAGTTTCTGCATAGAGTAATTGTGTCTACTGTTATCTTCTCTGTTTCTGTACACATAATGCCAGTTCTCATTTTGGTAAAATGTCAAAAATGCAAACAGGCATGTATATTTAAGGATTTCTGTATTAATACTTGAAATTACATTTTATGAAAATTGCTACTACCCACAGATGTCTCTGCAGGAGAACATGCAGAATAACTCGGGGAAGTGGAGCCTAGAGCCCAATTCCAGAGAGGAAGGGAAAGGAGAGAAGATGCGTGGGTAGTGTCTTGTACATAGGGAGCTGACAGGGCACCACATGATGTTGGTTCCCTGAAGACAGCCTTTTGCCCCAAATCAGAAGAGAAGGTCCAGACACAACCTGGAGAATAAATGAAGTCTCTATGTGTACAGCAAAGAAAAATTCAGCAGTCCAAACTGCTGCTGCACACGCTTCTCTTGGTCTCTGTGTCACTCACGTATTCACTTTGTACCATGTCCAACCTTCCTACATCTATTCTCAAACTGTTTCACTTCTCTTTTCACCTCCTAATTTTGTGTTTACATCCTTATATATCTTAGTATCTGTGAACATATATCTATTATAAACACCTAGGTGTATCTGTTTGTATATCTAAGTAATTAGGTAGTGTGTAAGTAGGTCTTGGTATGTCTGTATATCTGTCCAGGTCTACATTTGACAGATTACATGCTACGAATGTTGCACGTGGGAGACAGCTTTCAGTGGCTGCAGGCTGACACACAAAGGGAAGTGGAAGAATACCATCAGTACTCTTCTTTGGTCCCACTTAGAAGTAGGCTTGCTTGGCAAGGTTTTCCCTAATTTTCTTTTTACCGCTTTATGGGTAAAGACTCTGCTAATTTCCCTGTTTTCCCTCAGAGACTTTTCTACTTCAACGCCCTCCTTTCCTCAGATTTTAAGGGTTTTCCCCCAAAAACAGGAATGGGAATGATAGGAATGGGAGACTAAAAGCTTCTTATGAGACACTGACAATTTTATGAGTACACTGAATAAATGAACACAGTAAGGTGATTAAAAAAACAGAAATAAAGAGAGGATGATTCACCCTTGAAGAACCTCTCTTCAAGCAAAAGGAAACACACACAGTAAGTAGCTTTTTGATTGCATAATTTTCTGCTCACATTTAAAGAAAGATAAAATGCATGCTGTTCTAAAACTGTCTTTTTCACTGGCTATAAATATAATCCAGTCGTAGAATGTACATCTAAGATCCACAAGCAAAAGCCACCATTCCTTCCTGTACTCATTTGGGTGAATTGACAGACACTGATAGCTGCATTTCCTGGGTTTACACACTTGTCTGTCACTATTATTTCCTTATAGTGGTATTTAACTTTTAAAGCAACATTTCAGAAAACGCTACTGGTGTTTTCTTCATTTTAGAAGTTTGATACTAAAAAGACATAATATGTATATAT